GGGTGATCCACTGTATGTGAACAGTGAGATGTTTGGGCGCTGAAGTCGCCATAGCCAATTGAGAGTGAACGCGTATCTGAAAGCCATATCTCTGAGTTTTGAGTGGGCGCATGTCGCCAGTGTGCTGCGCTACTGTTTACATGTGTGAAAAGTGTGTTTGAAAACGAGTCTGATTGCACTCAACCCAAAAAACAACAATAAAAGCAATCGGGCCGCAGCAGATAAACAAAAACCATACGTACGGCTGCAACTCCAACGAAGCGGACGCCTAACGGACCTTAACGGAACGATCYGATTGTTAAGGGGACGCTCATATAACCGTACAAGTTGGTACAACCACAATCAGCTCATACCAGTCATTCCCGTCAAAATCCGTTAAGAACGCGCACCTACAACCCGAACCATTCCACAATAACAGCCGCCTCCGACCAGCTATCCCTCCCTCTTATCCCTCCCCCCCTCTCTCTCTCCCTCTCTCTCTCTCTCTCTCTCTCTCTCTCTCTCTCTCTCTCTCTCTCTCTCTCACACACACACACACACACACACACACACACACACACACACGCACACACACACACAGAGTCACTCAGCATTCTCCGCAGCCGTTGAATACCACGGTTCCATTGGGAGCGTTGAGTAGAGTGGAAGGGGGAGGCGTGGGGTCGCAAAAGTGCACAACGGTATTGGAGAGGTCCACCAGCTCTACGTACACGTCAGCGGACCTACTATCGGCGAGGGCCCTGTTTCTTGAGAAGCTGTTGCCGGTGCACACGCTGGTGATGCCCTCACCATCTGAGAAGATGCGCAGCCCTCCTCCCCTTCCTTTGGCCACGTTGTTGAGGAACTGGGAGCTGGAGATGATGCACGAGGCCCTGGAGCAGGACAACCAGCCGCCGCCAGGGCCGTCGACTCGATTGCCCACGAACTTGCACCGTTGGATTGTCTTCGGTCCCACACGCACATCGACGGCTCCGCTTCTCTCCTTGGCGTAGTTGTTGTGGAACTCGGTGTCCGTGATGCTCCCTTCTCCTTCCAGCGTCGCCGAGAGTGCTCCGCCAGAGCCGGATGGGTCTCGGTTGCCAACGACAGAGATCCGGCTATGGTGAACTCGTACCAGCCGCCTGTGATGGATATGGCTCCTCCCACGTTGCCCTGGAAGACGCAGCGATTGATCACCGTGTTCTGATTGCCAGCGCTGAAAACAGCAGCTCCTCCATCGAGCCTGGACGTCAAGAATTGGTCAAAGTCAACGCCGAGGTGGTGTGTATGCCGCTGAACCGCTTCCCGCCGCTGACGACTGGGCGCTTCGCCCCCACACCGGTGATGGACAGCGGCCTGGAGATGGGCGGCAGCGACTCGGTCAGGACAAGATCGTTGGGCACGTCGATCTTTGCGACAGCAGGGTCTTTGTAAGCGTTGATGAAGTCGGCAGCGGTGTAGGCAAGAGCGCACGGAAGCAGCCCGAAGAACACGGTGATCATGATGATAGCCATCGTCGTCATCATCAACATCGTCGTCGACACGGTGACCCTCGCCTTCTTTCCCATAGCCAAAGTGCAAGAGTCTACGCTCGAGATGCTGCAGCTGGGGTGCTTTCTCGACGAGCTCGCTGACCGTGGAGGCCCCACTGGTCCCCCCCCCTCCCCGCCGCCATAGCCACCATCGCCGGACCCCTCACTGACTTTGACCCCCTCAAAGAGCCTCTTCCTCCTCAAAAGAGTCAATCAAAAATTTGTCAAGAGAGAAGAAGGTGGGAGGTGGTGTCTTGTCTACGATGAAGTATGCGGCGGCGGTACTTACGTCTGTCTGTCTGTCTGTGAATCGTCAAGTCTCCGCTAATTGGCCTTAAATTGGTTCATCTAGAAGAGCTTCACCTCTCGTCGTAGGGGAACATCGAGGCCAGATTTTCTTGTTTTGTTCCGTGCGGTTTTTTTTTTTGTTTTTTTTGTTTTGTTTTGTTTTGTTTTGTGCAATCCTTTCATCACCCAAGGCAAATGACAAAATTTAATGTTTATTGTACATGGACCAAAGGCAGCGTTTACTTATTTATTTATTTAAATTAGCTCATCTAGACGAGCTTCACCTGCCGTAGGGAACATCCCTGCCTTTTTTTTTTTTTTTTTTTTTTTTTTGGCACCCGGAGGGCCATGTCGTGCTTACACCGTTGAGTTGAGCTAGCTCAACGGTGTGACACAATTGCTGCAAATTTAAAATTCAAAACAAAAAGTGCACAAAAAGAGAATCAAATGCTGCTGAAAGCTTTTTTCCATATTTCCTCAAATGTAAAATGGAGAAAGAAAGTGGGGCAATCTGCTATTCTCCATATTTTTTAGAAAATAAAAGGAGAAAATCACCAGCGTGGATCGAACGTGGACGGTCTTCCTGGCTATGTGCGTTTCATGGCGAATGGACAAGTTGGTGCCAAAGGTGTGATTTCGGCGAAAATACTGTGCACAGCTATGTACGGTGAAAGTACTGTGCATGTATGGTGAAATTACTGCGCACTTATGGTGAAAGTGAAGTACTGTGCACGTACGGTGAAATTTTACTGTGCGCGTATGGTGAAATTACTGTGCACGTATACTAGTGAAAGTACTGTGCACGTACGGTGAACGTACTGTGCAGGTATGGTGAAAAGTACTGTGCACGACACATGTACGTTTACACCAGGCAAATTTTTGACTCTGTGCATGCATGAGGCGAGGTCCGGATCCAGGGCGTTTAGGTGGTGTTTTTTTTTTTTTTTTTTTTTTTTTTTTTTTTTTTAACATCCTGATGTTCCAGCTCCTAGGGGTAAAGAATGATAAGAGCATGTACCCCTGGTAGTTTTTCTTCCTCCAGGTGAATCCTATACTATCTATTGGTGGGGAGCAGCACCTCCTGCAAACCGGGTCCAGCCAGCAACCCTTAACAACATCCAAGATTTTTGAAATGAGGAACAGTTTCGAAAATTTTGAGGAGAAAAAAACTAAAAAAATTGAGGAGCGTACGAATCCTCCCCCTGCCTGCATTGATTACCCTGGATGCTATAATGACTGGGGGGATTGACTGGGCACGGCAAAGAAGCAGACCCCGGGGGAAAGCAGCTGCCTTGGCCCAAGGGGGGGCATCGGGACCCTTGCAACTGTTGCCCCCCTCCCCTCCCCCTTTCTCGTTAAGTGTGATGCTGGGATGAGACTCTGGATCCTTGCAACAGTCCAGGTCAATGCATAACTGACGCAGGATGAGCGGGCGGGTGATCCAGGATCGTACATACACGCACTCTCTGGTCCGGGGATGGTCCACATCCCAGGACCCAGGTCCAGGGCCAATCCTGGATCATGCAACTGGTCCTGGATTAGCAGCTGATCCAGGATCGTCCCTGTGCATCCCCGGAACGGTCCTGGTCCATCAGGAACTGAGGCAGGATCAGCAGAGGATCCAGAACCGTACATGAGCCCTCGGCCGGCCGTGCAAGCAGCAGAGAGAGAGAGAGAGAGAGAGAGAGAGAGAGAGAGAGAGAGAGAGAGAGCTTCTACGTGGCAGCGTTGGGGAGAGGGGTTGGGGGTTGTAGGGACACTCGATTAACCGAGGGTCAAACATTCGCCGGCAGTTTCAGTGCAAAATTCAAAGAAATTTAAAAAACAAAGTACATGCATTGGGCTCATAGTGCAAACATCAACAAAACAAACAGGCCAAAGCAAACCTTAGAACAAAAAACACACTATAGAACCCTAGCACAAAAACACCTTCCCAGTAAAAATGAAGCATCCAACAGATCCAACGAAATGCCAACTTTTTCATTATCCATCCAAACATGTCAAGTGAGGGGCCTTAGACTCTTAGTCCTCGCCATCCGTGGCCCCCCACAGCTCGCGCATTTCTCAAAAACGGGTCAGATGGAGGGAAATGGGGTAGAACGGGGTTAGAGCGGGGGGAAGGGGGGGGTAGAGTGGCGCTCTAACGGCGCCCTACCCCGCTCTACCCGTACCCGGTTCTACTGGTCTTTCCCCTGTTCCTAGATTGGGGCGTTCCAGACGCAACGTCTACCAAGGTGATGAAGATGGCGTCCACCATATCCAGGTGAGTACCCCTGGCACTCCCCTCTCCCAATCCCCTTCTTCCTCCTCCTCCTACCGTTCACCATAGCCAAGGTGGAGGGCTGCGATTTTGTTAAAACGGACATTTTATATTTTTTGAACAAAATTGAATTCCACTTATTTGACCCTGGAAATGTCACCTTTTTAGCTCCTTATACCGCAAGAAGTTGGGACACAGAAAATCTGCAAACCAGGGGATCTGTTCGAGGATGCTTTCGGCCCCGAACCAATGAAAATCGAAACCATCCCCGGGGCACCCCCACCACCCAAGGTGGAGATGACCGAAGCCCGGGAGCATGACACGCCCCAGACTGCACAAACAGCACAGACAGAAGCACAAGAAGCTAGTAATGCGCGAGGGATGGCTTTGCAGGATGTGGCGGAGTGGTTGATGGAAAACCTCCGCCTGAAGTTCCAGGACAGAGACGAGGAAGCCTGGGTCACAGTGTACAGAGACGTGGTGTCCCTGTTGGAGAACAGCCCAAGCCTCCACATAGCTCTGACCCAAGGCCTGCCGAAAGGGTCAAGCTGGACAGAGATCTGTCACAAACTGTTACGTATCGTTCGTGCCCAGTTCAGCCCCCCCCCCATCCTTGAACAGGTTCCGGAAGGAAAGGACGGCCACACACGCAATGACACCCAGGGAGGTACGAGCCAAAACGCAACTCAACAGAGCAATAACACAGGAAAGGACGGCTCTCAATCAGGCGAGCGGGGTCACACAACAGCCGGTGACAGGACAGGTCAGCAAGACACTCGGGAGGCAACTCACCGAGACCCCTCTCACTCTGACACGGTCCGCGAGGATACACAGAGCCCTGCACAGCCCGGCAGCGAGAGAAGAAAAGAGGGAACTCAGCCAGGTGAGCGTGACCAGGGCACACAACCAGGTGAGTGTGACCACATAGTATCAGGCGAACAGACTGACAGGCCCCCTAATATCTCGTTGCCCGGCACCGGTGCGGCAAAGGAAGTCGCACATTCAAAAAGGCGACAGCACCTAACCACTGCGGATCAGACGAACCAACCCGGGCCAGCAAGGGAACACCATCATAACCACCTGAAGGAGCGCCCGTTGGAAGGGCGGGACAGCGGGGACGCCAATCAGACCCAGATCCACCCCACTCAGACCCAGGTCACAGAGCCGGAAGAGGGTCTGTGTCTGGCATTGCCGGCCTGGGGGTCTGCTACACCAACATTACATCTTGATCCCCCCGACCCCCCTACCCCCCCGAATCCCCTGGGGTCCACTCTCACCAGAGGAGACAAAAAATGCGCCATCTGCTAGAGAAGGCTCCCCCCACCCTGACCTGCAATAAGGGCATTGTGCTCCTTCCGGTCAGACAAACACACGGGGAATGGGAGCTGGGGCTGTCCATCCCCCCCGACGCAGCACATGGTGAGGTATCCCTCCAGGGATGTCAGCCTTCTTCCTCTCGCTAACTTCCTGGGCCGACAGTCTGAGCTTCCGTAAACAGGACATCTCCCGACTGACTCAGGGCCTCCTCCCGGAGGGTGCTACCTTGGCTCTGGTAATCTCCCGCGGGTGGGATAGACTTGGAACTAGGGACATCTACCTGCAGTATGACCAGCCCAACAAGAAGGACCTGCGCTGGCTTGACAAGGAGGCCCTTTTGGACCTCCAAATTTTAAAAATAAAACCCGGCGATCTCTGGTCATCAACAGAGGTAGTCCTTTCTGGTGAGTATACCCAGGACGCAAGTACTGCAAAAAGGCAGCTTCCTGGACACAGCAAAGTGGCTGCCCTTACAAAAAAAAAAAAAAAAAAAAAAAAAACACCACAGGACATACACCCACACATTTCACATTCGGTTAAGGAATTTAGAACAATAAAAGATGAATGTGGTGGACGCGCTCTATGGCAGGGACAAGGTCTGGAATCTCTGTAAACGGCAAGCGGATCTCGACTTGCGCTCAATCAATGTGAACGGCCTGGCCTCACCAAAAACCTTCAAAAGACAGGCCATAGTGGATCAATTAAGAGGTGTGGAAGGAAGGCTATGGCCGGACGTTGTATGCTTACAAGAAACTCACTTGATGGACAGCCCCGACCACAACCATACACACAAGGAGATTTGGCCTCATCAGGCCTTCCGTGCCCACGCCCCGCGCCTTGGCAGCTGTGGAGTCGCCATATGGATCCCCCTGGGATCCAAAGTAGAGATGCTTAACTGGGCAGCGGACCAAAACGAGGGGAGATGGGTCTACCTATTTGCCATGTTGGAATTAGAAGTGGTAAGTATTCTGAACATATACGCACCTAATGACACGTCGGAGAGGCGGACCTTCCTGGAATCCTTAAAGGATAAGCTGCGGGTGGGCATCCCCACAATCCTGGTGGGGGACTTCAACGCAGCCTCGGACAGGTGGATAGACAGATGGAAGACCCTGTCCCCCTGCCCGGTCTACATGGAGGAAGACGAGAGCATGATCGCTTATCTCTCTCAATCCCTCAATCTTTTTGATACCTTCCGGAGGAGTCACCCAACTGCACGCCGTTTCACATGCTACCGAAAGAGTGCGACAGAGGGTGCATCGAAATCACGCA